ACACGTACAACAGGTATAGCACGCCATAACAAACGGAAGGCAAAACAAAATGGCACAACCGAACAAAGAGCACTCGCCAACAGCCTGAAGGGCACACAATATGACATACACAAGCGCATACGACATCCACAACCGAACACACAAATACACAGGAACCGCACACCCACCCACCAGTCATACAAAGAAAACCTACAACATACACCGGAGCACGCAGGAACCGGGAAACAAAACCCACCCCACCCACTCACACACACACACCCCATCCGCACCGTACACAACAGAAAACACAGAATACACAGAAATCATTTTTGAGGAACAGCGTGAGAAATGTACTTCTCCGGGAAAACAGCGGAAGGATACTTCGCCTTGTAAGCTTCCCAGACAAAATCTTCAAGGTCGGTAGGGTTTTTGATCCCCTCGGGCGAGGGGGTATCATAAACTCAGGAACATCTATATCGGTCGGCATCGGCCAACGCCCGAGGTCACTGACGCAAGTCGCATAACGAGGCCGGGGAGCGCCACCCACGCCCATCGAGGAAGCAGACGACACTGGAGAAGCGGACGAGGGCCGCCGAGACTGCCACGAAGTCGCACACATAGGAGCAGGGCCGGACGACGAGACTGTAGCACCTCCATTGATACCGCAGGAGACACAGAGGAGACTGCTGGAGACGGAAGAGGCGGCAAGACCGCTGCCGAGGAAAACGGGTAACGAGGAAGGGGCCACAGAACTCTCAGAGCGAGCATCCTTTCTCAACACCATCACCAGGCCACCCCGCTCACCACCAACCACAGCAGGGGGAACCATTCCCCACGAAGAATCGGAGCCACCCCACGCAGGCGACGCACCTGAAGCAGGACCCTTGGACACCAGACCAGGAGGGGAGGCCGAAACGCCGGCACCGGCATCCTCAGGCAAGTGTACCTCCGCCACCACCGTAGTGTGCACCACATCCGGAGCCACCCCACCGTCAACGGAAGGACGACACTCGTCGAAGTCGCCAACTTCAGCCCACGCAGAAGAACGCCGGGAACGCTTAGGCTCGGACCACACATCATCTGACCCGGAGGAAGACTCAGCGACCCGCGCAGCACCAGCCGAGCGAACCGACGCACGCCGCAGTACGACAGCCTCCTCAACCACACTGGGCCCCAGGCCAGGCAGAGGAGGGAATGCCGGATCCACCCCAGCTCCCAGAACAGCCGGAACAGACGGCGAGGGTGCAGGGACCGGGACAGACACAGCAGAGGAAGAACTGGAAGACGAGGGGTCCGAGCAAACGGCAGTTGGAAGAGGCTCAGGGACACCAGCCGGAGCAGGCGGAGCACTAGGCGAGGACACAACCTCCGAGGAGATGCGGCAACCACAGGGGGCGCAACAGGCGGAGCAACAGCTGATACAGAGGGCACCTCCTCAGCCGAAGAGACGTCCACACCCACCGAATCATCCCCCACAGGAAGGGGCGGAAAATCCTCCTCACTGAAGAGATTCACTGGTGCAACAGCAGGCGCAGAACAGTCAGCAGCCTGATGGCCCAAAAGACCACAACGATAACACGTCCGCGACTAACGGGCGTAAAACACCCGAACGTTGTACCCCATAAGGCGCACAGAGGACGGAATATCTGCCCGGAGTCTCATGCCCAGGGTGCGAATGTTAGACCTCACACCCTTAAGAGGACCTAGAAGACACCACGTTCACCCTCACACTAACAACTGCGCCAAACCGGCCGAAATACCGCCGTAGCAGAGCCTCTGGAAACTCCAAGGGAGCCCCTGCACATGCACACTGGCTTGTGAAATGCTCTCTGTCCCTGTGTTTTGCGATTTATGGGTCGAGTTGGTAACGGCCCGTAGGGCAATTGTGAAGTTCGCAGAGGAGGTGGCTTATCGTGATTTTCTCCGGCGGTACGAGGGGCGGACACTGCCCCTGCCGGATGGTGCGGGCACTGTAACCCTCTCGGATAGAAGTGGTGCACTCACACCCTTAAGAGGACTAGAAGACACCACGTTCACCCTCACACTAACAACTGCGCCAAACCGGCCGAAATACCGCCGTAGCAGAGCCTCTGGAAACTCCAAGGGAACCCCATGCACACTGATTGTACATGTGCACCACTTCTATCCGAGAGGGTTACAGTGCCCGCACCATCCGGCAGGGCAGTGTCCGCGCCTCGTATCGCCGGAGAAAATCGCGATAAGCCACCTCCTCTGCGAACTTCACAATTGCCCTACGGACTGTTACCAACTCGACCCCATAAATCGCAAACACAGGGACAGAGAGCATTTCACAAGCCAGGGCAATCTCCGGGTAAACCAGCCCGCACAGAGAATTCTAGTCCCACAGACTGAGCCCGGACGACAGGGGGTAGAGGGACCCCCATCGTAAAGCCACATCAGCACAGGCGAGCAGAGACACACCAGCCCTCAACCGGCCGAAACTGGCAAACAACACCAACTGCTGGAGCGCCGATGCAACACGTCTGTCCCCGACCGAAGCTAGGGCCAGACTCCTCCCTGTGTTTAAATTGTGGGATTTAGACACTTTAGGTAGTGTCCCTGAGAAGCCTAGTCCAGATGATACATGGACTTACCAGCAAACCTGGATATGGTTGTATATAAAGACAAACATTACTGGGTTAGACTGCCATGGAAGTTGAATCACTCACAACTTTTGATTGTGTGTGTGTAAGGGGTGGAGGCCAGCACAACCACAGGCCAACCCACCACCTGTTTACCCAAGAGACCGATGGTCACCTGGGGTGGCAGTCTAGGCCCTATTGTATTGTGCTGTAAGGACCTTTCTCCTCTGGCATACTTAAGCCTCGGCTGTTAGTCCTACTGGGACCGACTGAGGGGGCCCTTGTAAAGCACTTGTAACACTCCACAGGGTCAGGCTCCCACAACCTGAACGTGCTGGGGCGCGCATACAACCCAGCAAACCAATACATGTCAGGTGGCGGTTCAGTCTTCTTCCAGACTATGACTATTTGATCGGTAGGCTCTCCTTTCTTGTTCAATCTTCTTGCTTTGTGTACACCGTCTAACTCCTAGGCCCAGTCCAGTGGATACCCGTGATTATATCTGTAGACTAGGTATTCATCTATTTTCTTGTTTCGTGATTGATTATCTAGAAGGGAGAGCTTTACATCACCTATTTTCCCTTGTAGAAGAGCAAGTACAACAACCTGTTTCTTTCTTGAAACATACACATATGGGGAGTTGATATGTGGACGTAGCATGCCTGCAGGGCCAGGTGGGTGCACCTCGTGGCATCACCACCAGCCATGGGGTCACCACCAGCCATGGCGTCACCACCATACATTACATCACCACCAGCCATGGCATCACCACCAGCCATGGCATCACCACCAGCCATGGCGTCACCACCAGCCATGGCGTCACCATCAGCCATGGCGTCACCACCAGCAATGGCGTCACCACCAGCCATGGCATCACCACCAGCAATGGCGTCACCACCGGCCATGGCGTCACCACCAACTGTTGTGGAATGTGACTTTAACTCAACTCTATTAATATTTAATTAAGAAATCGAAATACTCGAAGGACCACCCACTTTTGAGAAAAGAGGGAAAACAAATATATGGATTATAAGACTGACACTGTGGTACCAGTGCCTATGGATGTTAGATTATTTGGTAATTATTTGAAGAGCATGAATGGACTGTAATAATAATTAATTGAGAGTTTAAATCCTCAAACTTCAACACTGGGCGGGTATTACTAGAAATAATGTATATCTAGGATAATGACTGGTGCTGGTTCGTCACCAGTTGATTAATTACATCAATACAGATTATTGAATCAGAAATTAAATGTAGATTCAATATGATGATAATATAGTAAGATTATTAAGCTTATGAAATAAATTGTCAAATCATAGGAAATTATATATGAAACATTGCTGCACACTGAGAAACAAAATATTAGATTTATGTAATTTCGCTTAGAATATTATATGTATACGATATGTAAATATATAATAGAAATAATATTAGCATCAGTCAAAGAAATCTACGAAAGAGAGACAGTAAGGCTTAGTTGTAAGAAGACTTCACTAAACCCGTTTCACTGTTCGAATACTCGTAGACGTGATCACATTGTTCAAATAATGGATGATACACCAGTAGGGAATGTCGTGTGTAGAGGAAGAATTGCTCTGCTTGTCCTCACCAACACGTTTGTAATCACAAAAATGTTATAGAATTTGACTGGGCTAGAGATTTATTCCACTATTCATTACAACTTGAGAATAACGTAGAAAGAAACGAACATGAGTGTTTTGGTCGGTAAATGACATAACGACGAGCTACCTACAGTAATAATTTATGAGATAGTGCACTACACATAAAACATATATAACGTAGGCTTGTTGGCACATTTACAGTCGTCGGTATCACGTCAATTAGTCCCTGACGTTCACTGCTGTTGAAGGTCAAATTCGGGGACGCGATTATCTTCTCAGAAACTAGAATATACAGTACGAAGCACTGTACGACCACGTATTATATCTGCAATGGCTGCCGCTTGTAAATCTGTGTGTACTCGTGGCGGAGCCGTGTGCCGAAAAGCCACCTCCCCCATACCCAGAGGCCCGAACACGCATGCACAGAGACGCTCATAGCGATCTCGAGCTTAAACCAATATGGTTTACTAGTAATTATTGAGGGAAATAAAGGAGTACGATTTAAACTATCGTCACCAGTAAATATATTGAATAATAATACCTTTTCTCGCAAGGCAATTGCGAGAAGAGGTATTCGCATAATTCACGAAATGAATACTTCTTTCATAACGAACAATATTTTTAGAAAGAAAGGACAATTACTGAACTCTATAAATCTCTAACATTCGTGGAAGACTTCATGTTTCAGTCTGCTATCGACGCTTGGTGTCAAGATGGCTGGGTAATTTTCTATCTAAATCATGCCTGATACACCAACGATTTTAATTCTACGTGTTAGTGTTATTAGTAAATGTTAATATAAGGAGTTGAGAGGAGATTCTTCACCACCAGCCATGGCCTCTCCACCCGCTATGGCCTCACCACCATCCATGTTGTCATCACCAGCCATAGGGTCACCACCATCCAAGGCGTCACCACCAGCCATGTCGTCACCAGGAACCATGGATTCACATTCAGCCTTAGCGTCACCACCAGCCATGGAGTCATCACCAGTCATAGCATCGTCACACCAGTCTCCGTGGAGTAGTAGTAAGACACTCGCCTGCCGTTCCGCGAGCGCTTTGTCATGGGTTCGTATCCTGGCCGGGGAGGATTTACTGGGCACAAATCCTTATTGTAGCCTCTGTTTAACTCAACAGTAAAATGGGTACTCGGTTTTAAAAACGATTCTTCGTGAGGGACGTATTCCAGGGACCTGCCCGAAACGCTACGCGTACTAGTGGCTGTACAAGAATGTAACAACTCTTGTATATATCTATCATCATTACATCACTACCAGCCATGGAGTCACCACAAGCCATGGCGTCCACCATCAGCCATGGCGTCACCACCAGCCATGGCGTCATCAACAGCCATGGCGTCACTTCCAGCCTTGGAGTCATCCCCAGTCATGGCGTCACCACAAGCCTTTGCATCACCATCAGCTATTGCGGCACCACCAGCCATGGCATCGTCACCACCAGCCATGGCATCGTCACCACCAGCCATGGCGTCACCACCAGCCATGGCGTCACCACCAGCCATTGCATCGTCACCACCAGCCATTGCATCGTCACCACCAGCCATGGCGTCACCAACAGCCATGGCATCACCACCAACAATGGCATCACCACCAGCAATAGCATCACCACCAGCCGTTGCATCACCACCAGCCATAGAGTCACAACCAGCCATGGCGTCATCACCCTTAATGGCGTCACCACCAGCCATGGCGTCACCACCAGCCATAGCATCACCACCAGCAATGAAGTCACCATCAGACATGGCGACATCACCAGCCATTGTGTCTCCACCAGCAATGGAGTCATCACCAGCTATGGTGTCATCACCTTCCATGGCATCATCACCAACAATGGCGTCACCACCAGCCATTGCGTCACCATTAGCCATTGCGTCATCACCAGCCATGGTGTCACCACCAGCCAATGCGTCACCACCAGGTATGGTGTCATCACCAGCTATGGTGTCACCACCTGCCAATGCGTCACCACCAGGTATGGTGTCATCACCAGCCATGGTGTCACCACCAGCCAATGCGTCACCACCAGGTATGGTGTCATCACCAGCTATGGTGTCACCACCTGCCATTGCGTCACCACCAGGTATGGTGTCATCACCAGCTATGGTGTCACCACCTGCCATTGCGTCACCACCAGGTATGGCGTCATTACCAGCCATGGCATCAACCACCAGCTATGGTATCGTCAACACCAGCCATGATATCATCGCTACCAGCCATGGAATCGTGACCACCAGCTATTGCATCGTGACCACCAGAGAGGATCAACAACAACCCCAGTCTGTCCCACCAACATTGGTCCACCCAGGATGGACCCCAGGATGGACGGACCCCACTGGACCCCAGGTCGCTTCTCAAAAGACCCATGGGAAAAAAAAGAAAAAAGAGGAGGAGGGAGGAAGGGAGTTATCAGGGGAAAGCGCCGAACCATTACGATTATATAGCACGTGGAAGGGGTCAGGATAAGGATTTGGGATGGGACGGGTGGAAAGAATGGTGCCCAACCACTTGGGCAGTTGGGGATTGAACGCCGACCTGCATGAAGCAAGACCGCTGCTGTACCGCCCAGCTCAAGTGGTAGGGCTAGAAGAGGAGGAGAAGATAAGGCCAAGCTAGGACATGATGCTTAGTGTCCCGTCTTGGTGTCAGCATCATTGCATGGAGCGTAATTGCAAGACAGAATCGTTTGCCTTAACTGGCCGCTGCTCCAGCAAGCATGTTGCTCTGTTGAGTGATTCCCCTCTGTGTGTCTTGCAAACTTGATGTAGCTGTCTGAAGTGGCTCTCTGAAGGAGGCGTGCTGGAGCAACAGGGAGACTGAGAATAGAATGGATTCTACGATGCCAACTACATGGAGGTTTCGAAACTTGCAGGTCCCTTTATGCTGTGAAGAACCCAAAGATACGGTCATCATGGTAACGGACGTAGGGCCAATTCGAGATCAGTTGGGACAACCAAATTCCACGGTCTTGTGCACAGTGCAAGAAGTACAGTTTCCACAGCGTTGTTGTGCGTCAACGACGAAGAGGCGACTGATGCAGTTGTGTTGATGAAAGGCGTCACAGGAATATCTACAAGACCAAGCAGTGATATCGCCCAACCAGAGACAACTGATGTTGGTCGTACTTGTAGGCCCCTGTGGGAGCCGGTCGGCCGAGCGGACAGCACGCGGGATTTGTGATCCTGTGGTCCTGGGTTCGATCCCAGGCGCCGGCGAGAAACAATGGGCAGAGTTTCTTTCACCCTATGCCCCTGTTACCTAGCAGTAAAATAGGTACCTGGGTGTTAGTCAGCTGTCACGGGCTGCTTCCTGGGGGTGGAGGCCTGGTCGAGGACCGGGCCGCGGGGACACTAAAAAAGCCCCGAAATCATCTCAAGATAACCTCAAGATAACCCTCCTAACCACTGCATACTCCGCCTCCACGCAGGTCGCACACCAAACCTGTGTCAGGTTAGGTTAGGGTCAGTAAGTTTCATTTCTTTGAACTGTAACCTGGGGCTGGTCCTCTCCCAGAGTTCGGTTGAGATGATCTACCTGCACACCTGCTCTAACAAGGTGGTTCTTTATAGACTTACCTCGCCTCCAGGCGGTCATGGGAGGTTTTTGTGGGAATTTTACCCAGAATGGATGTTCACTGTACGTTTCCCTCATCCATGTCCATACTTCCTGGAGTTTTATCTTAAGCTGTGCTGCAAGGCCGGGGAAGAAAAGGGTTGGAAGAATCCATCTCTTGTCTTCCACTTCTTGGTTCTAGGTCTGAGTAGCTCTGCCCTGGTTTTTTCTCTGAGTTTCCCCTGGGCCGCATGTATTATTGTCTCTAGGTAAACAAAAACATATTTTTCAAACAAAACAAAACAAAACAAAATGGGTAAACAAAAACATATTTGTCTCTGTGTAAACATAAAAAACATTTTGTCAAACAAAAACATATTTTTGTTTGTTAGAGTAGGACGATGAAAAATTGTTTAGCTAGGATTTAATTTTTTTTTATAAAGTTTTCCCACCCAGCTTATTGGCATTAGCAGTGTTGCAAAAACTTTATTAAAGGGGGAAAGGGAGATGTAACACCGTAAATTTATTTTGTATTTAATATATATATAGAACAGGAGTCCAAGGGTTGTCATAGCCAGGGAGTGGTAATGGGGGGACGAGCCCCTATGACCTATAAAATGCTCCTATATGGCATGCGTCTCTAATAGCCTCTGACAACCAAGTCCAACTCCCGGCCTGCACTGGTGGCTTAGTCTTTAAGTTCGGCTGAACTGCTTTTACCGACAGGAGAAGGGGTGAGGGCGTGCCTCTGGCGCCTTAAAAACAGCTGCTCCGGGTAGATGGGACTCGATAGCCTGAGAAGGCAGCCCATCTAGGGGTACGAAAACCCTGATTTTAAACCTCCGCTGCCTTGCGGCCATACCCCTTTTTTGGGAAAGGCTTCAGGAGTCAACCTCGAGGAAAAACCCAGAGTTGGATCGCCTAAGGCAGTTCGTTGTTGACGTCGACCTCGTTCTGGCAGCTCCTGCAACGTTGCTGGAACCATGTGTATTGGCATTTGCCTTTCTATTGGATAATTTCAGCAACGTGGAGAGGAGGGACCTGCTGCATGGGTAACAGCTTCTCCTTCAAATCTACCTACCCAGGCTTTGCGCTCTGTCAGGGCGCAACTCCATAGTCTTCCGAGACTGAAGGATGCCTACTACTACTAGAACAAGGAGTCACAGACAAGATGTCGAGAGGCGTCAGGTTGGCGGCCCCTAGTAATTAAGAAACTATCACCTCTACGTGTTAATGACCACCAAGTGACCAAGGTCAGGTCATGGGAAGTTGACCTGGTCTCCGCTAATCTCATAATTGCAGGCGGCTAGCCAGGGGTGACCTTCAAACATGCCGCCAATTTAAGGTGTGGCTTGGTAGAGTGCCTGGGCTATCTACTTGTGGGCGGAGTTAGCTAGTTGGTCCCAATAAATACCCCGGGTACTGTACACTCGAGAGATAGATAGATAGGAAGAGACAGACAGAAGACAGGAGAACAGCCAGCAGAGCAGAACCAAGAGGCTGTCAGCTGCACGGGGGCGGAACAGTCTCTGTCAACTACAGTCCCCCCCCCCCCTCTCAAGCGAGCTATAGGCAGACACTTGGTGAGTTGATCATGAAAGGTGACGTAGTCGTGTTTACTAGTGTTGTGTGACAATCAGGGGGAAGACGGCTGTAATGGTCTCGAATTCTGGTGTAGTGACTCACTTGGTACATTAATAATGAACCTTCAGTTCGATTGCTGGAATTCTGATATTTATCATGCTAAATAATAATTGATTCATTTACTTTTAATTTTACATTAATTGTGTTCCCAAGTTCTTGGAATTTATGATATATGCAAAATAGAGTGTAGAGTACTCTTTAGTTAAAGAATCTTGTCTGGAACATGATTCGAGTTAAATCATACTAATGATGATCTGTTGATACATTTTAGAGAATTTTGTGATACCGACAAGTTCCATTCCTTGTCTTGTATATAATGGTCTTGAATGGATGGTGGCAGTCTACCTTCTACTATCTACTTCTACCTCTACCACTACTTCTTATTCATCTCCGTACCCTCTCTCCCACTCTCCCTTTTACCTGACTACACTCCTCCCTCACCCCAAACCCTCACTAATTGCTGTTTTATTCATCTCTTTCCTTTCGTTTCTCTGATTCGTTCGTTTCAGTGAATTACTCTAGAGTTCTCTTGAGTGACGGGTACCTGATCAGGTTACAATGCCTTGTGGTCTTGACACCTAGGTAATCAAATACCTAGGTCACCAGGTGATGAATTAGACAGCTGCAGTAGGGACTCTAGTGGGAGTTTTAGATTAGCTAACTGGCAGGGGGTGGGGGGGAATAATGGACAAAAGAGAGCTATTTCCCCACTCCCCCGTTAGAATAGTTAAATCGGGGTGGAATAATGGACATGATAGAGCTATTTCCCCCACCTGCGTTACAACCTTCCATGGTGTCAGTAGTAGGGATGCAGGCCAAAGAGGATTTTTTTGTTTTGGAAAAAAATCCCCTTTAGTACTTCATGGTTTTCAGGTGAATTTGGGCAGTCACAGATTTGGAATTAAGGAATTCTTATGAGGAAATAATTTCTGAGATTTTAGACGTTTGTTAAGAGTTCATATGATGAAAATAAGATCTTAGAAGTTTGTTAAGAGTTCCTATGGGAGAAATTAAAAAATCCCGTTTTGCATGTCATGATTTTCAGGTGAATTTGGGCAGACACTGATTTGGAATTAGGGAATTCTTATGAGAAAAATAATTTCATAGAAGTTTGTTAAGAGTTCATAAGAGAAAAATAATTTCCGAGATCTTAGAAGTTTGTTAAGAGTTCTTATTGGAGAAATTCAAATTTTTCAGAGTTCAGTTTTAAGAAAATATTTCAGAGTTTCAAATAATCATAGAAGTTTATTTATATGTTTATGACCAAATTTTGTAAAAAGACCATTTTCAGAGAATATTGTCTTAGACGTTTTGTTACGGAAAACAGTATCTTAGTCATGACTTTAAGTTTTATAACCATTTACGGCTGTTTCACCTGTAAAAATACCGAAATTAACAGAGTCCTATTGTTAACCTAAATTCTTCAGAGTCCACTTTGTTAACAAAATTCTTCAGAGTCCAGTTTGTGCCTGAAAATATTCAGAGTCCAGTTTGTGCCTGAAAATATTCAGAGTCCAGTTTATCCCTGAAAATAATCAGAGTCAAGTCTTACCCTGAAAATTAACAGAGTCCACTTTGTGCCCAAAAATATTCAGAATCCACTCTGTGAGCAAAATTAGTCAGAGTCTGTTTGTAGACAGAAATTCGCCAGAGTCCAGTAAAGACCAAAAATTCATCAGAAGCCACTTTGTGCCAAAAATATTCAGTGTCAAGTTCATGATTGAAATTAATCAGAGCCCAATTGAAGACCAAATTTGCTAGAGACCACATTTTCGCTACTAATAGCCTAATTTCCACGAAATTTAAACTGTCATATTCCAGACGTAGTGAAATATATGAAGTTAGTAAGCAAGTTCTAGCTCCTGTCTCCCTCCATAGTTCCCTCTCGTATCTTCGTTAATACCTATTCAATTTCCCTGAAACTTATACCCTCTGTATATCAGACACAGTAAATAGGATCAAG